TATTTGCATGTAACGGCTTCATTCTTTCATTAATGAAAGGAAGAAGCTTTTACAAAAAGCTTAATTATTTCATTAATTAATGCCTCAATACTGAGACATTAATGAATGACTGTTAAATGCTGAGAATCAGCAAATACCGGCATTACAAAGCCTGATATAACTCGTCACGTACAGTGTACGTGGCCAGTCATATAGGCACAAAGTGACAAGACGTACACTGTACGTCTCCCGTCACGAAGGGGTTAATATAATGATATCAACTAGTTAAATACCTAATGTCTTTAAACTGAGCCTGTCTTATTTGGTTTCAGAATTCCTCCTTGCAACTTTTAACAGCAGCAACAACTTGGCAACAGTTCCTAGGTGCACCCCATAATCTGGCAGCGGTTGCATTCGCTAGCCAAGGAAAAGTCTAAAAAAGCCAGGACTGGATTTTGGTAAGACTTACGGACAAAAAGGATTTCTTCTGTGTGAGACCTTAGGCAACACATTTGTGCTATAGAAAAGACCCACATGGGAATATCTTGTAATACATAGTCCTTGAAAAACATCTGTAAGATACATCATACTATTACAAAGAACGCTCTTTCTTTGATAATGGTGTCATGTGGAGGCCAGTTCTGAAGAGCGCTGTTCTTGTTAGGGTTTGGTTGTAGTCCATTGTGTGTGACTATTTTTCCTAAGCATTGCCTGACTTTAGACTCAGTCTAAATCTTTGGATCTAGTCCAAAGTCAGGGAAAACCACTACTAGTCCTTAGCCCACAGTGTCTAAAGATACTTCCCTTCTTGCTACTGGAACACATTTATCCCTATACTAACAGGTATCTCCTTGTGCTACAGGGCCCTTTACAATTCATTAGGCCTTGTGGTTTAACAGTCCAAAGTCATCCATGTTACGCCCACCACCATTATAGGCAAATTATTGGTTGTCATTAAAATCTACAGGGCCTCCGGGTTCACGGTCCACTTTTGGAAATCTACCTCCTACCATCATTATCATTTGGATACAGTTGTCAATCAAACACTCAAACTGAACCCACCTACACTAAGCAAAGCCCACATAAAAGCAGTCACTCTGCTGTCCGAAAAGAAAAGTCATCTGGGTTTTCAGGGTCCTGTGGAAACTGAGGTGCCTGCTTCTGGTCCAGCAAGTCACTGGTGTACATTGGTACATGTTAAAAACTGCTTTTAAATAATAAAATGTAGGCTTTTTTATTAATGGTGAAGCTTGTGACAAAATAGAGTTGTAAAGTAATGTATAGGTTTGCTGTTTGCTACAAATTCAAGCAATGCATTTTTCATGAAACTGGTGCCCAAAATATTTTAGTTTTTGCTTAATAGAATGGCTTCAGTCTCTAATAGTGACATGAAGAATATTCAGAGTGCATGCACACACCTTTAAAATGCCCTGAGCAATGGTTCCTAACCCATTATAATCCACATGGTATCCAAAGTAATGTTTAGAAAAAAATGAATTAATGGGAATTTATCAAAACTGGACCAGACAAAATCTGGAATAGCTGTGCATTGCAACCAATTAGCTTCTCTCTTTCGATTTAATATCTTAACTGAACAAACGGAAGAGAGAAGCTGATTGGTTGCCATGGGCAATTGCTCCAGAATTTGTCTGCTTCAGTTTTGATAAATTCCAGCCATTGTGTTTCCTGCACCCAGGACTTTCAAATTATCATAAAAAAACAGCTCTTTTAATCTTATATTAAAAAAGCAGCATAAAAATTATTTTAGCATAATGGCAATGTTTTGAGCTTAAGCCAGTTCTTTTTAAAGCCTGGAGAGTAATTCATGGTGGAACTCTTTGTTCCAATTGAGCCGTTAGCCAGGTATGCAGTACAGTATCATGGCGCTAAATGAAAGTAATAAAGCATTACAAATTTACAACCCAAACTGAAACAGTTTGATCACATTTCACATATTTTTCAGATGAAGCAATGTTGACATTAGTTACATAACCATACCAACAGTTTTCTTGCTTTATGAGTCAATTAAATCGTGTTGAAAATTAAACATACTTCAGTCTTAGCCCGAAAATAGTAAAGATCCTTTGTTTGATTTTCTGTTTTGATACTTTTAAGAAAGAATTATTATGCATTAATGCATGCTGGATTGGAACCTAGAGGCCATCCTACTGAGCCACAAAGTCCTTTATGTACAGCAAGTGCTCTACTTTTCAATGTAGGATTTGTGAGATTACCTCTTGTATAAGCTTTAAACAGAAAGCATCTATCAACGCACAACATTTGGAGTGCAAGAAATACCCTTATTGGCAAATTTATGTTTCTTAAGATGAAAGCTTTCAAAAAACATAATTTTTTAATTCAGGCATTAACTACATATTAATTTGTGAAACAACAACGCGATACCTAGACATAAAAAAACCTACCTAAATAATGTTGTGAAAATGTAAGGGAACCATGAAAGTGCATTGAGCATCAATTTACAAATAAAAGAACAAACACACACAAAGGACAGCTATTACAATGTGTCATGCATTACAGTGAGCACCCTATTCCGGAACACTGCTATACACCTATGTTGTGGTCACATTGCAAATACTGAATAAACCACAGACTATTAAGATGAAAAAAGCTAATGTAGATATAGATCGTCTAAAAAAAAGTTAGCAGAAAGAAAGCATCATGCTTTAGTAGGTAAAATGCTAATTTCATGTTTTTTGCACTTTAATGGTATTATGAGACGAATATA